TGGCTACATGCAAGAATACGGACTCATACACATAGTGTTAAACAAAAGACACAAGAGTACATATAATTATTACATTTACATGAAGTTTTAAAACAGACAAAAGTAATTCATGGTGATCAAGGTCAGAATAGTGGTTATCTGTGTGGAGGAGGGACACAGGTCACCTATTGGGGTGCTAGAAACGTTCAATATCTTGATCTGGGTGATGGATTCAAGGGCGTATTATAAAAACCCACTGAGGCATACACTTAATATTTACACACTTTACTGAAATGTTTTACCTCAATAAAAAAAATATTTTGAAAGAAATATTAATGGAGAGATATAACCATGTGTTAATCAGGAGAGTTGTCTTCCAAATATTTCTGGTTTTCCTCCGAGGCACATGGAAGGATTACACTCCTCCTTGAACTTTGGTGTGGCCATGTGATTTGCTTTGGCCAATGAAAGTGCTTTAAGGGCCTATAAGTGATTTGTCATACTTTTAGACTTTGTGGGCCATACACTCTCTGTCACTCAACTCTGCCATTATAGAGCAAAATCAACCAGACAATACATAAATAAATGAGCAAGGTTGTCTTCTAATTAAAACTTTATTTACAGAAACAGGCAGCAGGACAGATTTTGCCTGTGGGCCATAGTTTGTTAACCCTTGGCCTAGAGCAAAGTCCCTAGCTAAGTTGTAAGAGAAAAGTTGTGTGCGACGCTGAGATTTTGTGGTTGTTACCGCATGGCAACCTAGCCCATCCTGATAGAGAAATTGGTTCTGTTTTCAAAACACCAACATACTGAACATTGGCTTAGTTGGCAGGCATTCAGGAAACTGCTAGTGAAGGATGGAAGAAATAATTTATGCAGGGGCAATTCATGTTATGGAGTTGTGAAACTGTCCCTTGAGAAAATCTGGAAGGTAGAGAATCTATCCTTTACTAAAAAAAAAAAAAAAAAAGACAAGAAACAAAATATTTTATAGTTCCCGTTGGCTGCATTTGACAAAATGTAAAAGAAAGAGATGAACTCAGAGAATAATTCATCAATTTGCAAGCAGAAATGCAAGGGAGGAGACAGAATTCAAAAATTCAAGTACTTATTGAGTGGGATGAGGCCACTTCTCAATTACAAAAAGATAAAGTGAGAAATCCTTTAATCCTAAGGTTGATTAAAACCCAGTTTTGCAGCAAGGATCAAATCACTGGATGACTAGTACACCTACTGTTAAGATCTCTGAATGAATTAACGTGTCTCTGACTAAAAGGCCAACTGAGAGTGTAACACTGGTAATCCCACGAATTGGACAAAATGGCTCAAGGAAAATGAGACTAAGTGTATGGCTCTTCCATGAAGCCTGAAAGCCCTAGTTACCCAGAAATTAAATTCAGAGAGGCATGTGAACAAGAAAGCAAAGAAATATAGCAAATCTAAGAAGCACACATTGACTAGATGTCCCTTTTGGGTCATCTTCCTTGGGGAGGTGATGAGGACGTTCTGCAGGTAGGAAAGCAAGTGAACTGAATATCTAGTGACCAGAAGGGCTGACCGAGTCATTCTTCTAATATTTTTTAAATTTACTTACTTTTAAATCCCAGAAGAGCCAGAAACCATCTGTAAAGGAAAGCAGCCCGTAAACAGTTTTCTCCTAGGATTGAGCTTACAAAAAAAAAATGGATATTAACTCTTAAGCAGCATTATCTTTTTCCAATACTGAATGTAACTTTTTAATTACTGAAGTATTGTTTTAGTCCACTAAACAGTTGTCCAATCTTTTTCATCCAGGTTCCTTTGGAAGTCTGCCCTTGGAAATTAAAAAAAAAAAAAAAAATTGAGACTTCCACATCAAGGAGGTAAACACTTACTATTACATAGCAGATTTATGTGAGCATATCTGGTTTTGAATCCTGGCCTTACTACTTATGTTTAGTAGGGCAAATTGCAATCTAAGTTTGTTTCCTTAACGACATTCACATAAGAAATATTTGAGCTACATGCCAAGCACTGAGCTAAATTACAGGAATACAATTCCCCAGTCACAAAGAACTTAGTTTCATTTCTTAATTTGTAATATGTGGATAACAACTACCCAGTGAGCAGTCTAAGGCAGGACCACTGTGGAGGTCAAACGAGACTACGAAAGGGCTTCAAAAGATCCTAAGAACTATACAACTATTTATTCATCCAAACATTTACTGAAATGCCAAGTATTGTGCTAAGCACTAGACATATAACAGTGAGCAAGGCATATGGTCCCTGCCTTATAAAGCTAACGGTCTAGCAGTGATCAACACATAACAATAAAGTATGCTAAGAGTATGGTTGGGAAAGAACAAGGTATTTAGGGAGTGCATAGTAGGAGCACCTAGTCTAGAGAGCACTGATGAAGGCTTCCTAGAGGAAGTGGTACATAAACTGAGACCTGAAAGACGAGGAGAAACTATCTTATCCTAAGAGTAATGGTGAAAGCAGTGGAGTGATGTGATCAGACATGTCTTTTGGAACAATCTGGCTGCAATGTGCAAAGTGATCAAAACCAGAAAGAGGGAGACTAATGAGGAGTCTGTTGCTATAATTTAGGTAGGCTGATGGCCTGAATTAGAACAGTAGCACTGGAGAATTGAGAAAAATTTAGATAGCAGATTAACAGGTTTTTGTGAGTGGATGTGATGAATGAAGAGGGAAAAGTCAGGGATAACTCAGTTTTTGGCTTGGGCAAGGGCAACTGAATGGCTGGTAGTGGCAGTGCCCTTTATTGAAAGAGAGAACATGAAAGGAGGAGCAGGTTTGGGGGCAAGATCAACGACACGTGGTGCCTATGAGACAGCAAAGTGGACTTAAGTTAGCAATTAGATACACGAATTAGGAAAGGTCTAGAAAGGAGATATGAATTTGGGAGTGCATACAGGTGGTAACTGAAGCCATGGAAGGAAATGAGATCAGTTAAGGAGATGATGCAGAAGAAGAAGATAGCCTAAAACAAAATTTAAAAATCCCAAGAACACAGGTATTTAAGGGAAAGAGTTGCCTGCAAAGACTGAGAAAACCCACCTGGAGATAGTATCTCCCTGAAGCCAAAACAAGTATTTCAAGGAGAGTGGTCAGTGGTGTCAAAGAGGATAATACTGACAAGGACTTAGCTAGCTTGGTAGAGCCGTTTGAGTGGCAATATGGGAGACTGGAAACAGACAAATTTTTAAGAAAACACGTAGGAATGAGAGATATAGGGACATAGAGTTTTTGAAAAACAGCACTTATTATAGCTATATTCACTGACATAACAAGACCAGTAACAACTACTTTATAAAAAAAAATTAAAAAAAGACTGCCATGCAGTTACAGAATTACCTAATACAGAAAATAATAAAATACACACTTTTTTTCTTTTTTACAAACAAGACTAGTTTATAGCAAATTCTCTATAATTCAGGGTCAATTTAAAATTCTTGACTTATAGCTCCCCCCCTACTCAGTGACTACATAATGCAAACTAATTTTATATTACCTTAGGCAAAATATATAGTGGAACTTCACAAAATGTACAAGACTGCAGAAAACAAAAGCACCTTTCAGGTCTTCCAATCATTCTTTCAATAAAGCACTTGTCAGGAAAGAGAATACTTCAAACTAGTGGGAAATTACCGGTAGACTTTTTTTGTTTGTTTGGTTTTTCACTATGTTGTTTTTCCAGATATTTAAGTTCACTCTGTTAACCAAACTCTCAACTTGACCATTCTTGATAAGTATCATTAATATATAACACTTGCTTTTCTGTCCTAATTATGTATAACAGAATAGAGCCCTTTAATCTGATTCAATATCAACTACTGATTTATAAATGCTGTCGTGAGCAACCAGAAACTATCAAGGCCTTTAGTGCACCTTACCAGCTAAACTTGAAATGTTGGAATTAGTCTCTCCTATCAAGTATTGTCAGTTTGCCCAAATTTCCCTTCTAATTTTGCTTCTACCGGTAATTTGCCGTTCCTCAAAATAAGATAATCTACACTAGGGGTCTGCTGGCACTTCAGGAGGGGTAATTCTTCATTGTGCCAGCTGTCCTATGCACTGCAGGGGGGGGTGGTCCTTCACACTTAAAGGCCAGCAGAACCCCCTCAGTAAATCTAACAACCAACAAAGTCTTCTATATGTTTCCCAACATCCTCTGGAAAGAGGCGTTACTGCCTCTGGTTGAGAATCATTGACACAATTTGGTTCTTGGGCTCTTACGGCATCTACTTGGATTGCTCCAGGTAGCAGTTCCTTCTAAATTCTTGGTTGTGGAGCCGGCCCCGTGGCTTAGCGGTTAAGTGCCCACGTTCTGCTACTGGCGGCCCGGCTTCGGATCCCGGGCGCGCACTAACGCACCGCTTCTCCGGCCATGCTGAGGCTGTGTCCCACATACAGCAACTAGAAGGATGTACAACTATAACATACAACTATCCACTGGGGCTTTGGGGAAAAAAAGGAGGAGGATTGGCAATAGATGTTAGCTCAGAGCCGGTCTTCCTCAGCAAAAAGAGGAGGATTAGCATGGATGTTAGCTTAGGGCTGATCTTCCTCACAAAATAAATAAATTAATTAATTCTTGGTTGTATCCCGGCTCCTTGAATTTGCTGGATTAGTGACTACAGAATAATGTGTTACAATAGTTAGGACTTTAGCACAAGTTTTCAATTGTACTTGAGAGGATATCTAAATTGGGTCCCGTTCTTAAATCATTTTACATATTTGGCTTTACTGTAAGATTTCCTTTTCATGGTTAACTTAAGTTTGAAAAGAGTTATTTTACCACAAAGCAGATGTTGCACTAGTAATATGGAATTGCCACAATCTGTGAATACAGCTGCTTCTTGAGCTAAATATTTCCACTTGTGCACTGTCTTAAATACAGAACGTGTGGGACAGTTTCAAATTCTATAATAAATCCATTTCCAGCAGCTAACAAAATCTGATACCATATCACTTTAAAATAAAGGGTTTCCTTTAAGCAGGATTTCTTTATAAAGCAGTAACACCCATGCAGATAGGACAAATAAGCTAAACTACCTCACACCTCCTGATCCTGGAGTGCAAAAATCTTTTTGCATCTTTTGTGACAGGGCCAAACTTCTGTCTAGAGTAGGAAAAAGAATTACTAATGGGCAACCGCTAAGATTCTATACTTACCGTAGTCCTTTCATAGGCAAGCTGATATAACAGCACCCAACTGTGAAAAATACAGGGGACCCTCCAATAACTGGTTAGTCTGATCTCCAAACTGCAGGAAGCCGCCTAAACCAGCAATTTAAAAATAATTCTTGCTCCTCTGACTAAAATTTTATTTGATTATTTCCTCTAGTAGTAATATCATTATTGCTGGGGTGGGTGGGGGGACATGAGGGGGTAGGAATTTGTGAATATTTACCTCAGATTCAGAAACATATTTTAAAAGAAAGTCTTAAACATTTTGATAGACAAAATACCTCCACTGTATGTACGTTCTTCCTTTTCAGAAACTTCTGAACTTGCTATGTGAGTTTCTGCAAATTGGCTCAAATATACATTTAAGGAGTTGATAATTTCAGATTATATGCATCAGAATTTTAACTTTGTTAAAATAAGAGCTAAAATTTCTTTGAAACGCCTTAAAAACAGACTCCCGATTCAACTCACATTACCAGTACTAAACATCTTTAAAAACAGTCATATCACAAAACCAAAAGACAATGACTTTGTCATTAAGTTTTAAAAAAGGTGTTCGCATGTTTCAGTCCCATGCTGCCTTTTGAGATGAAAAAAAAAACATCTGTCAGAAGAATCTGAATCGTGATCAATTTGGATGAATAAACTTGCTGCTTTCCCACAATCCAAATTAGTAAACTTGAAAAATCAAACAAATTTTTTTTTTTAGAATTGGATTCTTGTTGAGTGTTTCAATGTTGTACTACAAAGGCTTATGGATTAGATTCATTTCTTCCTCTCACAAGATCATCCCAGTGCGGCTCTATTTCAGTTGTGGCAATCCTAAACAGGGCGTGGAGATGCTCGTCTGTCAATGGCTGGCTCAAAGTGTGTTGATTTTGAGTCAAATATGAAAAAGCTTTTTCACAGATTTCACTACTATCAAACAAGGATGCCACCTTACAGGCAACCCCTTTGATAATCGGGTAAGATTCAGCAGACAATCCAGCATAGAACTGCCCCAAGTCTTTGATTCTGTACTCATTCCAAAGGTTTGTATTTGCCTGAAGTTTTGTTAGCTCCACCCTTACCGAAATAGGGGCATATTCAGGTTTAAAGTTAAATGGATTTGCAAAAAGTTCTAAGTCCTTTTTAATGAACCTGAGGTCCTTGAAATGCCTCTCAAATTCTTTTTGTAGGCGACAGATCACCACTTGATATCTTCCAGAATCAAATATTTCTTGATCTTCTTTAAGATGCTGTTTAAGCTCATCAACAACCTCTCTGAAGGCAGCAAAATGTGTTAGATCTTTTTCCTCAATATGTCTCTGAAGTAAATTCAGTTTAACTTCAAAGGTACAAATATGGTCAAAGGCAGCAGCAGCAAAGACTTTACTAACTCTCAATAGTTCACTGAGTTCTCGAAGGTGGTCCATAATATCCACCAAGAAGCCAAAGTCACAAAGCCATTGCTTGTCTGCGAAATGGATCGTTGTTGCCCCTACTGACACCAAGAACGTTTCTATCTCTTTTCTTAGGGAAAATATTAGTTTTAAAGTTTTCCCTCTTCTAAGCCAATTGTTCAGACATCGTCCATTAACCCTTTCACCATGCTCTGACTCAGATTCAGTTAGTAAAGCCTGAAATTCGGGTCGCCTAACGCCTCTGGTCTTAATCAAAACGATCCATTCAGATACGGTATTTATGATCTGATTAACATCCACATCGTAGGAGCTCAACAGTTCCAAGTGAAGAAATCCTGAATAATGGATAACATTCCAACAGTTGGGGCTTACAGCCTTCTCTCTCATGTATGACACCAGTCCTGAGTTCTCACCAATCATCCTCAGAGTGTGGGTCGTGGTTAGTCCAACCATTCGCTGCAAGCTAAGCCCTGCCGTCTGCAGGGCCTCAAGGATTGCCGCCATCAGGGCACCAACACTGAAGTGATGAGTCAGGTTGATTATGGTCAGAAGCTCTTCTTGCACCTCCAGGTCCTGGCCCACGCCGCGGACAAAGACCAGGAGGTAGTTCTCATAGGCCACAAAAGCCTGGTCGTCCAAGGCAAGGGAATAGGCTTTAAAGTCCTTAGCTCGGTTAAAAAGCTGACTGCGTAGATCGTTGTTAATGTTCAGGACCCTCTGCCGTGTGAGCTCTGGAGATAAATCAATGCCATCCAGAACGCTCACGTGCTCGGGCAGCACATCTCTCAGCATCACCTCCATGCACCGGTATACAAAGTCGCCCTCGCCCCAGCCGCGACCCTTCAAGGCCAAGAGGCGGGCGAGCCCCAGGCCTGCACGAGCGGCTCTCTCCTCGGGAGTGAGCGGGGCGACCACCGGCAAGTCGCCCTGACGCAGACGCTCCACCAGGGCCGCGCGCTCGCCCTCCGCCACATACCGCTCGTAGTAGTCGTGCTCGGCCTCGTAGTGGCGCCTGACGTCGCGTTCCCGGGTGGCTACAACGAGGCGGCGACAGACCAGGCAGAGGGCCCCTTCGCCCTCCGGAGGCTCCACCACCAAGTAACGCTGGGTCCACTCAGGCCGGAAAACGCGAGACTCGTCGACTTCCATTTTGCTCCTCTTGGGCGTCATCCACATTTCACTGGAGGCCACAGGAGCACGGCCGACCACCCGGCGGCCGCAAGAAAAGGCGATGTGCAGGAGCAACCGCCAAGCACCTCCTCCGCTCTGCGCCAGATCACCTCAGCAGGGGTACGCCAACCTCCGGCTACGGCACCGCCGTTCCTATTGGCTGGAGATTTCGTATTCCCCAAGCCCCAAGAATGAGCCAATAGACTCATTGCGCGGACAGTGATTTCTAGCGCGCAGGCGCATACCCTTATAGCTAGGGGCTGAAGCTGCTTTAGGGAGGGGCGAAGAGACCCAGGAACCCACGGACTTAAAAGACTTGACTGGCATTCAAGCTACCCAATGAATAGCTCCCTGGCCCCGAAGCGCCGTTGTCACTGGAGGGTGGGGCAAGCGGCGTAAGCAGACTTTAATGAAATGATGTAGGCACGAAGCACTGAGGTGATTGGCTGAAGGCACTTCCGGTGAGCGTCTCGACGTAACCTGGGCTCCTCTGGCGCCAAAATGTCGCTGGTAGCGGGGGTTATTCGGCGGCTGGACGAGACAGTGGTGAACCGCATCGCGGCAGGGGAAGTTATCCAGCGGCCGGCTAATGCCATCAAGGAGATGATTGAGAACTGGTACGGAAGCAGTTGAGCCGGGCTTCTTTACAAGCTACCACCTAACGGGCCGCTCCTCAGGATAGCGCGGACACGCCTCCCTGCCCTGGGCAGAGGCGTGTACCGCGCATGCCCCCAGCGGAGGAGGCCTGGGCGGGGGCGGGAGGAGGGTCTGCTTTCTCTGCCCGGGTATCGCGTGTTCTTGAGTGCTCTCGTTGTGGAGTAGGTGCAGGTGGAGGGCTACGCGGTGCTGTTTTGATGGTGCCATTAACTAAGGGAAATACTTTTAAAGTTATATATGTAGAAGGTGCAAAATTTAAAACATATAAAAATTTTCGGTGGAGAACAAAATCTCCCTTAATTCTTCAGAAGGTACCATGTTATCAGTTTCTGGCTTATTCCAGAAATCATCCATACACTTTCAAGAGAACAATTCATTTTGAATTTTATTCTAAATAAATTATCCAGATTTTAGGACAAACCGGTGGACTTTTTCTGGGTTTAACTTGTGATTTGCGTGTTGCAAAATTAGTGACCCCGGTTAGTGTCCTGCTGCCCTTTACTTTCTGGGGGGGCACTTTGAAGATATCTGATTTTATGGGGTATTCCACGGATTCTAAAGTTTAGAACTGTCAAACAAACCGTGTGGAGGGAAGAGATTAAAAACCGTGGGTGTAAACTGTAAACCTCAAAAAAGACAGATGCTCATAATGTACCTAAATGTCAGATCCTTTGTGTTAAAATCAGTTGATCTTAGTAAAATCCATACATTAAAGGAAAAAAAAAATCCCAGTAAAGAATAGTAGGTTTGTAAAGGACTTTATTGTGAAAACATGAACAACGATTCAGGGTATTGGGCCTCAAAGAACAGTGGGTCAGACAGGACCACCCAGGGAAAGGAAGAGAATTAGAAGGTAGACAAAAAGGAGCAGGGACCTGGGAACAGTTTCTCCTTTGGACTTTACTTACCTAGTATGTAAAGGCTGGCTTTTGTTTCTGCCATGTTAGAATAAAGTGACAGAACAATTTAGGCCTATGATTCTACTGGGCCAAAATACTGTACAACAAAACTAAACATATTAGCTCAGTGGCTTATAATTAATTCTATAAGCAGATATTTTTGTATAGAAGCCAGTTACGCTCTTTTTAATATGTAAGTCACGATGGCTAATACAACTTCAATTCAGAGGCTCCTGAGAAAGGTTTTTAATATTTAAGTAATTTACTGTCTTTTTTCTGAATAAAGAATTTTCTGAGTAAGGAGTAGATGCTTCTCTTTCTTGTGCAGCCCCAGGCTGAATTTGTTTTCTCTTAGCAGATGGTCTGTGCCTCTTAGCTGCTCTTGAATGTACAAAAGATTTATTGGCTTCTTGAAGAACTTTCTGCATTGCCATTTTTTCTTTGCTTCAATATAAATATATTCTTAAAGAAAAGGGAATAGTAGAGAAAAATATTTATAATTTTTTTTTAATAACACTTTATTAGGGTCATTTAGGAGCCTGAGGCTGAGTAAAGTTTGAGTAACAGATGGTAGAATTAGTTGAGAAAAAGGTAAGAAAAAGGTGTGTGTTAAAACATCCTATTTCTTCTGGGCCGGCCTGGTGGCGTAGTGGTTAAGTTCGGCACACTCTGCTTCAGCTGCCTGGGTGCGGATCCTGGATGCAGACCTATGCCACTTGTCAAGCCATTCTGTGGAGGTGTCCCACATACAAGAGGAAGATGGGCACAGATGTTAGCTCAAGGCTAATCTTCCTCAAGCAAAAAAAAAAAAAAAAAGATTAGCAACAGATGTTAGCTTAGGGCTAATCTTCCTCAAGCAAAAAAAAAAAAAGATTTGCAACAGTTGTTGGGGTGTATCTTCCTCACCAAAAAAAAAAAAAAAATCCTACTTCTAGCTTCACTTTCTTTCCTAGAGGAACAGAAATGGTGCTGAATGTCCTACTGGAAGTGATGGTTGTCCCTTTCTGCCCCTCTCTTCCCTGTCTCTCACACAACATGTAAACTGATAATAGCGTAGTCACAGAGCCTGTAAAACAGGAAAAACACATTAACGAGACAGTCTTATTTATCTGGAATTTGTTTTTATCCCTTGCCTCATATTAAAATATGTGCATTAGAGTAGTTGCAGACTGATAAATTATTTTTTCTGTTTGATTTGCCAGTTTAGATGCAAAATCCACAAGTATTCAAGTGGTTATTAAAGAGGGAGGGCTGAAGTTGATTCAGATCCAAGACAATGGCACTGGGATCAGGGTAAGTAAAACCTCAGAGGAGCAGGATGTTTGTGTGCTTCATGTGATACGTCTGCGGGACACAGCAGAACCTTCCCTGTTCTGGAAACTCTGGGCTTTTGTGGATGGGATTGTTTGACTGAAAAACTCAACACCAACAGTAAATATTTACTGAATACCTATTCTAAGCTGGGCACTGTTCGGGGCAATATAGAGGTCAAGGAATGAGTCATGAGGCTGTTTAAAGGATGAATGTTCTGGGCAGAGAGAATAGTACATCAAAAACCACAAAATGGAAGCATGCCTGACACGTTTAAGGACCAGCAAGGAGGCCAATGTGTCTAGAACAGGGTGAGGGAGTGGAAGAGTAACAGATGAGGTCTGAAGGATAAGCAGGCTGATCATGTAGAACATTGTGGGCCATTGTAAAATCTTTAGCTTTTACTCTGAATAAGGTGGGATACTATTAGAGGGTTTTGAGCAAAGAGGTGATGTGGTTTGGTGAAAGTCTACAGTACGGCAAGTAGACTATAGCGGGACAGGACAGAAGCAGTGAGGAGGCTCTTGGAGCAATCCAGGGGAGGAATGATGGTGCCTTGGACCAGCTTGGTCACAGTAGAGATGTTAAGAAGCCGTGAGATTCTGGGTTGATTAGGAAGACAAAGCTCTCAGAATTTGCTGGTGTAGAGTGAGAAAAGAGGAGTCAAGAATGATTTCAAAGTTTTGGCCTGTGCAAATGGAAAAAAGAGTTTCCATTTACTGGTAGGAGAGACTAGGGAAGAAGCAGGTTTGGGGGAAAATTGGAAATTCATTTTGGGGCATGTTAAACTTAAGATGCCTGTTAGTTGGATACATGTGTGAGTCTGGAGTGCAGGGTAGAGGTTTGGGCTGGAGATAAAAATTTGGTGTATTGCATTTTGATGGTATTAAAAGCCGTGAGACTCCCATGAAAAGATGTTCAACATTGCTAGTCATTAGGGAAAGACAAATAAAAACTATAATGAGATACCACTTGACATCCATCAGGATGGCTATTATAAAAATAAGTTTAAAAAATAACAAGTATTGGCCAGGATGTAGAGAAATTAGAACCATTGTACATTGCTGGTGGGAATGTAAAATAGTGCAGCCATTGTGGAAAATGGTATGATAATTCCAAAAAAAATTGAACAGAATTACCATATGATCCAGCAGTTCCACTTCTGGGTATATACCCAAAAGAATTGAAAGCAAAGTGTCAAAGAGATTTGAACACCCATATTCATAGCAACATATTCACAATAGCAAAAAGGTAGATGCAACCCAAGTATCAACAGATGAATGGATAAACAAAATGTGATATATACGTACAATGGAATATTATTCTGCCTTAAAAAGGAATGAAATTTTGACACATGCTACAACATGGATGAGCCTGGAAGACATTTTGCTAAATGAGATAAGCCAATCACAAAAGGACAAATATTGTATGATTCCTCTTACATGAAGTTCCTAAAGTAGTTCAATTCATAGAGACAGAAAGTAGAATGGTGGTTACCATGGGCTTGGGGGAGGGGAGAATGGAGATATTTTTGTTTAATGGGTACAGTTTCAGTTTGGGAAGATGAAAGAGTTCTGGACATGGATGTTGATGATGGTTGCACAACAATGTGAATATACTTCATGCCACGGAACTGTACACTTAAAAATGATTAAAATGGTAAATTTTGTTATGGATGTTTTACTACAATTAAATGTATCTGTAAAATGTGTCTGTAGATTTTTAATACAGAAGTTTCCTAATAATTTTTATAAAATCCATGAGACTGGATGAGATCATCAAGAGAGTCAGTGTAGAGAAGAGGTTCAAGATGGAGTCCTGGGTTATTCCACTGTCAGGGGAGATGAGACAGAACCAGCAAATGAGACTGAGAAATGAGACTAGTAAGAAAGAGGGAACACCAGATCAATGTGGTATTCTGGATGCTAAGTGAAGAAGTTACTGCTAATTTAAAAACTCTTCTCTTAAGAGGGATTTCTTCGTGGATTCAATGAAGAAAAGGGAAATTCAAAAACATTTGGAAAAATGAGTAACATAATTATTTACTTATTTTTTTATATTTTCTAGAAAGAAGATCTGGATATTGTGTGTGAGAGATTCACTACAAGTAAACTGAAGTCCTTTGAGGATTTAGCTAATATTTCGACCTATGGCTTTCGGGGTGAGGTAAGCTAAGGATTAAAGAAATACAATATCCTCATGTGATGACATTTCTGCCATTTGTCAGCATATGTTTCTCGACAGGTAAATAAGATATGATATTTTTTACTTGTTAAATATATCAAATATAAACAAACTTAAATTCAATTTTTCAAAACAGAATTGTTCCTAAATACTT